TTCCTGGATACAAAATCGACCAAAGCAGTAATTCTTTCGAACTCACAGTCAACAATAAACTCAATTGGAAACAGAGAGCCTCCCAAAACACCCGAGATATCCGAATGTAAAAAACGCTTTATGTTGATAAGAGAAAAAAACGAAACAGTGGCTCTACAATGGATCCCTGGACACTATGGCATTAAAGGCAATAGGCATGCTGACGCAACTGCTAAGAACAGGACTACAATTTTGCTAGGGATAGACCGGTCAATGTCTTTCCACACAATGAAGACCTTAATCAGGAGAGAATTCAAGACCTCAAAGGGCAATAAACTTAAAGCTCGAACAAAAGAAAAACAGTGGACAGTGGCACCCTCCGACATAGCCGACTGGCCAAGAATCGAAACCTTTGTTGAGTTTAGACTACTTTCCGGACTCGATTGCCTGGCAAAGCACATTCACAGATTAGGAGTATACACTCAACCAACATGAACCCTATGTGACCTACAGCAGAAAATGGAGAAGACCCATCTGATTCCGTGTCCAGCCCTTAAGACAACAACGAAAACCCAGAAATACTGGGAAGCCAGAAGACAACTAATGAACAGCTATTAACTGTCCTAAAGCCCGCATATATGTTCCTCTCCTCCCCTTGTGAAAGCCGAAATCAACTAGGGGGCTAATGGTAAATACCATAAAGCCTGCCATTTGAAACAATAAGAATGAAAGAGGATTCTTATTATGACCCATGAAAAGCATAGAGTACGTCATAGGATTAATACTACCTTGAAATTGGAGGTCAGAAGGTAATTATAAAACATTTACGAGTGACAAGTTTTGATAGTACACACAGTCATGTCTATTATGGTTGCTAAACGCCATGCAGATGCACAAATTCGGTGGAATAGAAACGTCTAGACATGGCGAAATTACCGCGGAGTTGAACATTTCAGGTTTGTGACTAAAATGCCATGCTGGCATAAAAATGATTAATAATTTTAAGATAAAATGAACATTGCAATTTACTATTTATGACAAAGGCGAATGAACACGGAACTCATTAGACGTATAAAATCACTTTCAATCGATGGAAATCATTCATTCATTAAGTTAAAAGTTGAGGTGGGGATCACTCAGTTGCATCTATTAAGACTATATAGAGTTGGAGATATGGGTTGGATAAGGATCAATCAAAGGAATAGATAAGTCTAGAGGCCAGAGCGAGTAAATTGTTGTAGTTACGAACAATGCATAAATGAGCATTGGCTAAGCCTCAAAAATATTGTCTGGTACAATCCCCTGGCATAAAGTTTTCCTGAAATTAGTCAGGCTGTTTCAACAGTATCGAGGATACTGTGCGTGTGTGTGTAATGAATTGCGTTCATACCCTTTTTGGCCATTGACAAAATTCTTTGCCATTTAATTATAATTAGGGCTACACTACTTTGAGGCAACTATCCATTATTGGTAGCCAAATCGGTCTCTGCACGCTCGACTGCGCTTATCCCCCCAAAACGATTGGTACCGATACCTTACCTTCAAGGGCGTTCAAGCGCCAGAGATATTTCTTCGATTAGCCTTGGTAGGGCTGCCATTTCGAGCCAGAGCAAATTTGCCTAGGACCTGGCTAATTTAGCTGGAGAAAATTCCTAAATTCCATCAGATTTAACCCCAAGTTCAATGAGAGATGATCCAAGCCTGTAGATTGTTTATCCTGTCTGTTATTGTAAGTATAATATATAAATTCCTATTATTGCTTTAAACTGCCTTTCCTTAATATGAAATTAAATGAAAATTCAAAAATTTATTTTTTAAGTCTTATATTTTTGGATTATTACTGATAAAATCCGCAGATCGTGGAATTTCTCTACGCATAATTCAGTAGTGGGGGGGGGGGCTATAATAAAGATTTTTGAGGCAAAACCTAAAATAAAGTTGTTGTTAGGAAGTAGAGGTGGTAGAAGCTGCGTTTATTAAAACCTATTCCTCATTCGCCTTCTTCGAGCTTGATTTGCTCCAATTCAGCCCTTAGAGCTTCATCGGTTAGCTCAAGCTAAAAATAAGATATATTTACACAAATCGATTTGGTTTTAATACAAATTCGCAGGCAGACTACTCACCTTATCGACAATCTTCAAGCATTCCTTCGCCTCGAGAGGTTTGCCCGTTTCAAAGCATATCTTCGCCAAATAAGCCCAGACACTCGCTTCTCGACTATTTAATCTATTTGATTCCTCGAAAGCTGACTGTGACTCCTCCAATTTATTCAACTAAAAAGGGATTGCTACAAACGCGATATGCGATCGTACTCTATAGCAAGCTAGCCCAACGCCTTTCCAAGATTCTGGCGTTGAGTATTGTTGACAACACTCAAGATATTGTACTTTGCTATTTTCGTACTAGAAGGAAGCAGTTAGTCGAGTATATAAGTGGCTTACATCCTCAATCTCGGTATAGCATTGAGCTAGTTTGAGGCGGTATAGACGATGATTTCGAACAGGCCACGTCTCAAGCTGCATAGCATTTTCCAAGCACTCTGAAGCCGCTTTCATATCCATTTGAAGGCAACGTATTAGACCCATCAAGCACCAGCTCTCTGCGTTCTCTGGTGATAGTTTTAAGGACTTTTTAAGTTCACACTCAGATTCTTGCAATCTCCCTATCTGATCACATGATTGCAGGTGGAAACGAGCGCTTAAATGATAATAGGCACCAAGGTCATGCGTGTAGTCTATATAGTTCTTTGTTGTTCTCGGAACCTGCTCTGAAAGTCTGAGATTATCTATTGAATCTTCATCACCGTCTACTCTTTCAAATTGCGATCGATAATGTTGACAATTAAGTAGCAACCTGGCTAATCCTCGATTGATAAACTAAAATTTTATAATGCTCTTATTCATGTACTTACTGAACTCGCATGCAGTTGAAAAAGGAGATCAAATGCATTGATCAGATCACTAGAGGAAGCATATTCGGGTATTGCCCCGTCGGTATCATGAGATGTACTTTCGTCCACTAAAATCAATGGAGATTTTGATCTTAATATTTATGAAAAGAAATATAAAATAAACGGTTTAAATTATTTAAGACAACTAATAGATCCGGTGTGCCATTAGATACATTGTGTGAATTGAGGGATATCTAGGCTAACCATTTGATCTCATAGTGCGAGTATTTGGGAAGAGTAAACAATATTTTATATCACATTTAAATTTTCAGAAATAATTGAATCTACTATTCCCACCGAGTTTCGAATTATTCATCTGTTTCAGCATTACATTGGTACGCTCGTAATTCCAAATATCGTTGATCGATTCGTAGAATAATCCTAAACATGTAACCGCGATATTAACTAAAACCTTACCTAATATTATCCAGACCTGAGGATTGGTGGGAGCGATATTGGATGCTGCTTCCAAAATGCGTCTCGCCTCAGCCAATTTCGAGAGTTCAGCCAATAAAACACCCAAGCACAGCAATCTTGTAAACAAAATTCATATTTACTTAAAACTGAAAGTGGAAATTTGGCAGAATTCGGAATTCCTATAAACCTGCCTACAAGTTATGGAAATAAAATTTTCATTCTAAGGGAATCAGAGGGTGGGGGTGGGATTTATTCTATTCCATATACTGTAGGGGGGGGGGGGGTGCGATAGACTTACCTCTACGTGGGACACCCCGGGCAAGGTATACTCATACCGCAAAAAAGTCTATTAACTGGCAGTTGATTTCTCACATCAAACTACCATGACACCACTGTATGTTATATTCGTCCCCTTTCACTGTACTCACCTTACCTTTTTTTCTACCATTGTGCCTGCCTGTCGCTTCAACATCTGTGAATCACTCTTCTGTCCCCCTCTCGACTTTTTGTCACTTTGATGCTCCTCCTCTCTGTAAAGCCCAAAGTCCGATAAAGGGCTAATGATAACTATCAAAACGTCTGCCATTTGAAATAAATAAATACTGTAGGCAGTCGGACCGCCGGTTCTACTCCATTAGTAGGAATTATCTTCACTTAAAACGAGGACAACCAAGCCAAAAATGCAGTCGTTAGAATACTAAAAGTTTGTTTACTTACGCGCTGACATCACTGGGATCTGTCTCAAGCAGCCATTTCAGACAGACGATAGCTTCCTCTCGGTTACCAAGTCTAGCAAACAGAGTAGCCGCTGCATGTAAAGTCTCCTTGGTTTTTCCATACTTTGCAAATAGAATCTGGAAGAGGAGAAGATGATTATGTATTCTTTCAGGTATCAGGAGTAATCTAGGCGACAAATGATAGAGCCTAACTATGTTAGCAAATCGATGTAAACAAGCGCCAACCTGAATTTAAATAATCTGATAGAATATAACCTGCTTCTTTAGTTAAATTCAATTTATTTTGAAATAGCAAATAAAATGTGAGAGAAATGTTTGGCAACTGAGCAAACGAGTTCTGTTGCACCTCCTTTAAAGCATTGGAGGTAAATTAAGGTAACAGACCTCAATGTAATACTTGGCGCACTGGAGGTTACCCAAAAACTCGGCTTCTTCCGCAAAGTAGAGAAAATCCTTTTCGCTCAACCCTCCACCTGAAGGCACATTTCCTGAACCCTGTAGCGATTTTCCTAGCGTACTTAACGAGTTCCTGACTTCTTGCATGAGATAAACCTTTAAATCATCCAGAAAATCCTGCATGGAATGGCAGTTTACGTTTTGTTATTTAGCTCATCATTTTACAAATGGAAGGAAACTGATTACGTATTTACCTGAATCAAATCCTCTAGAGAAGTCATTGTTGCTTGGTCAAACATTTCTAAAGCCGCATCAGCAATCGGAAATCGAAGATGACTTTGAAATTCCAAATACTTATCAAGTAAAGATCTGATCACAAAATAACACTCCATAACATGACTTACTTTTCAATTTCATTGGATTTTGTTGCCGATGGGCTATTTAAGCCCGAAGAGTACTTTTCAAAGGGAAGTCTACAATTTGAACATGAAGTGAATCAATCAAACATTTACCTAACTTTAGAGAATACATCGGTAAACATTCCAATAACTCCCTTCTTGAAAGATTCTATGAACTAAAAATTGTATTGAGTTTAGGAGACATACCTCAGGAACTTCAACTAAATTAGGTACTTCATTTTCCATTCCTTTTAGGATGTCCGCAACATCTTTTATCGCAAGTGTGGTTTCGCGTCGGGGAATTATCGGCTTGCTGAGTTCAATGTCTATGATCAGACTGGCGTTGAACTGATTAAAATCGATGCAATCGGAGGTATCAATACTTGACCTAGTGGACCTTTCGGGATCTTTCTTCTAAATTACCCGAAAAATGTTGTAAATTTGTTGAGAAATTATTAACTTACCAGTACCTTCTTTGTTGACACCTTCTTGTTGCTGATAATGTCCATCATTTCGTTTAAAATGGATGCTTCTTTAAAGCCCTAGACGCAAATACGTTATCGGTTGAAAGCAATCAAAAGATACCAATTAATTGAGGTAAATATTATGGCGGATTATTTTAGGGTACAAAATGAATTTTTAATTTTAATTTTATGTTTGAAATATGATTTTAAAAATAACTACATAAGCAATAGCTTCCCCTTCACTGTTGAAAAATAGAAGTGCCCAACTACTTTAAAGAGTAATGGTCAAAATACTTTTCATCTCCCCTGTTAGTGCGGAGGTAAAGGATTCATCTCTACGCAATGCTGTTACTGTTACTGTCAGCTGATTGGAAAGTGACGTTTGGAAAGGTTGAAGTTGGATTGTTTATCAGCCCAACGTTCTACCTAGTTGGCACTCTTAATGCTAGCATTATCATCAACAGTACATAGCATAAATAATTTAGTGTTTTCTTATCTTCATGCTATAATAATTTCGAATACAGAGTCATTAAACTTCAAAGGAGGAAAAAATAATTATTCATTTAAATATTTCGAATAAGTTGCCACCGAATGCCGACTATACTTCCAGCTATGCTGTTTATTCCAAATTTTGTTTCTTGGGATGTGGAGACGTAAAACGATAATCTCGCAACCCTATTCCAATTAGGTAAATATCAAAAAATTGGAATGCATATATATATGCAAGGTGAGCTCACATGTATTTAATAGAAAGAGAACAGAAATACAACTGCAAAGGAGCATTATTATCATTAAAAATGCGTACTAGATAAACGGACACAATTGAAACACAATGGAAGAACGTGTCTTAAAGCTCTAAGATGACGACACTTGCACATTTATGTGAATGAAATAAAGTTAGTATTTGACTACCCGTTCTCTCCTAGCTGATTTAACTGTCGAAAAGATTTCGAATTGGGTAGGTTTTCCTCCTGGTCAGGGCCTTTGTGTACGTTACGCCTATTTTAACAAAATCAATTATCAACCAATGTTGTTACATTAAGTGCTTTTTGGACAATGTTAAACGCCAAATTCACCAAATAGGAAGGGGAAAACTGTAAGAATAAATGCGGCTGCCCTGAGTTCAAACTTCAGGAAATATGAGAAGTCAATTCCCATTGGAGAAGAGTATGAAAACAATATGAGTTAATTGCACCGACTTTCATGAAGGAAGATGTGAATTCCCTTGGTGTTTCGTGATTGCATGTTTCACAGCCCATCTCCACGAAGTCTGATCCAAGTAGAAAACTAACAAAAGAACTGAGTGATCAGACGCTGTAAATTGAAATATGTAGCTTTGAAACCGGGTGTTTTTAATTCTACACTTCTTATCACTTCATTCAATTTTTAGCCTGTTGGTAAGATTTCCATCATAAAAAAATATTAGGATTACGTTTTTTTCTTTATTCTCTTTATAACTAGTCCTTAAATGAGTAATTTGTTGGAAGGTGTCGTTTTTAGACCGTTTTTGAAAATGTGTAACAAAATATGACTAAAGAATAACTTCGTGGTGCGCACGAACGAAGATAACTCTCGTGTAAGTTCCGAAATTTCCCAATCTTAATCGAAAGTAAACAATTTAAAATTGTTTTGTTTGTTTAAATTATAAAAAACCAGATAATTGATTTTTTGGCAAATATGCTTAACTAACGGTGAATAAGGAGAATGAAGTTCATGGTGCGAATTTTTCACTTATTATTGGCACATTTCCATGTTTATTGATTTACATTTTTCCCGCCTAATAACAAAATTAATTATTTCTATCCGCTGCATTCTTAATTTGTTAAAAGCTTTTTTCTCATTGACAGGATAAAAATACACGATAATAAGATACTATCACCTACGACTCTAATACAAAGACAAATTAATTCAAAGAAAAATATAAAAATTTTATCTTATTTCTTGTGCAAGCCCATGGACAGTGATTTTGTCACTCAAACCTTTTGGGCAAACGCTTCATCGTCGTATTTCTTCACCTCGTAGGCACCTCGAATACGAGTCACTACATTTCAAGAGATGTTATTATATATCAGTACGCTTGACATTACCTCCTGGATACAATAATGGTGAGAGGTCCACAAATGCAACTGCATGAGAACAGCTCATCCCATCGAGTTCCTAGAGGCAATGAAGCAATCAACATTAGCCAAATACCCAAGATTCTTTTGATACTGAACTGCTAAATAGTTCCACAGGCAAATATGGACAAAAAGAGATGATTTCCTTCAGGCTGCAATATGCATGAGATACTAATATGCACAATGTACTTTATAAATTCGTCTTCTATTAGCATCTGGCGACGTTGCTTATTCCATTCAAATACAAGTGGACAAATAGGCTTTCTGGAGACGTTCAGACTCTGAGTTTCCACTTCAATGCCTTCTTCGCCTGTTTCGTGACGTCTAAATGTGAAATAAAATAAACAAAGGAATAAAATTTGGCTACTCATTAGGGATGAAAATATCGTTGCCGTCCAGTTTTTGTGTTGTGAACCACTTCAAAGGTGCTAATTCTGTCGCTGCCACTGCTTTACCGCAAATTAGTGCCTCTTTGTTTTTCTAAAGTCGAATTTAGAAAACCAAATTTCCTACGGATATAATGTTTCTAAATCCAGCTAAGATGGAGTGATTCTCCACCACAGCTCCGGGCAGATTCTCGAGGTATTCAAGCGTAATTTTTGCCCAAGTATAACCCCTTCGGCCTGATTTTCCATTTTTCGGCTCAAAAATTGTTGCAATTTCAAGCTATTTTAATGGACATTACATTGGTAAATACCTCAATAGTTTGAAGAGACTCCAAGTTGCTTCGTAATATATGATTACTAACATGAAATTCTAAGACATTTGAACTGAAATTTTGCTTTACCAGAAACTGCTTGAAATGCATCAAAAATAAACTTAGCGATAAGTTTCGCCTTTTCCTTTCTCTTTGTCTCCTGGTTTCGATAAAGTGAAACTTAAAATTCATTTTTTTAAATATTAAACACTATACACATAATAGGATTGTTGAAAAGACGCTGAAATCCAAATTCTTCGACATCAATATCAACAGGGAAATTTAGTCTAGTAGATCCATTTGGGTCCGAATTGATCTTGGGAATTTTTCCAAAAATACATTTATCACATTCAATCGTTATATTATAAGTTCCCTCCGCTGGCTAAATTGTTTCATAAATTGTTTTTTAAATTATATACCAAATTGTTGAGCTTATTAATTAGTAGCTTTATGCTATCCTTAAGTTCCATTTCCAACAGCTGTTGCCGTTAATATTTTGCGAGTGCAATATTTTTATAAGACGCTCTGTTTACACAAGGACGCTATCTGATGGGGTAGGTGCCCATGACAACTTAATCGTGAATGACTTAGAGTGGCGCGCGTGAGAATAATGGCCTTACCTATATCAGGTAGAATTACTCTAAACAAGCTTTATGCGTATGATCATTCATCGTAGTGGAAGATTGGGATTTCAACCTTATGCTATATTCCTAATTCACTTGCGCTACCATTTTTACTCAGCACAATTTACTATGCATCTAATTTCCTTTATAATATATGGTTCTATATTCTGCTCAATATGCGTCTCTGACTAGCACAAAAACGAAATTTGTTGAGAGCCACAGAAGATAAGAATAAGGTTATCTTAACATAAAGCCTACATTCGAAGCTACCCACTGTTTTGTTATGAAATTAGTGAAACAGATTTATTTAATTTGTACTTCGATAATTCTAACTAGATTAGGTCCAACCAATTATAAATGTGCTAAACACCTGAAGATGAATTATCCGCTCTTTCGTAAACAGGCCCGTTTTCTCATCGGCTACTGTAACTTGTGTTATTTCCACCGAATTGGCGATTAATGTCGTGTACTTTAGTTGAATAGCCGCATATTTTTTCCAGCTTATTTATTCTGTCGATTCAAACGCAGCTCAATTTTTAAAGCAATACATCAGCTGTTAAATCTACACGATTCCAATCTATTTGTTCTGGTTAATTATGTAGATGGCAAAATTGCCTTTTAAGTTAATGGATTAGTTAAATGCTATTGTGTCTAAAGTTGCTTGAATCCTATTGGTCAAATTTAAATGAAACAACATTAATACAAATCACTATTGGCTTTATTATTAACCGCTATCTTGTATCTTGGTCATGGTCTCGAATGTTCTGCCTTCCCCGACCCCTCCTCTAGTTGAAACAAGGTTGCTTTAACTATGAACTTTCCTCCCATATTTCTATCGCGAAAACAAATGCAGTGTATTGGAAATTTTCCATTTGATTTATCTACTTCAAGAAGACCCATGCATTTGCTTTCACTTATGAAATTGAGATAATTCTCCTAGCTCATGATTATTTACTGAAGAAAAATGATTTTGTCATTTGTGATTAAAAGTACAGTAGATAACTTATTGGAGTAATTTCCTCAGTTGATCACTTGCTTTACAATTAAATCTAAATTATAAGCTTAAATAAACTGAGAATTTAGTTCTTAGTTTGGCAAAAATATAAAATCTTACTTATCATGGCATTAATGTTTCATCCAATGTGAATCTAGAGAGACCTCAAATGAAGCCACGGGTCCAACAAGGAATTTGAAGCTCCTTTGACGCTTCAGTAACTAATGTGATTTCCTAGTATGAACCTGAAGTGATAGCAGATAAGGGTTCCTTTGGTGCATGCCCTTAAAGTTTTCAAATTATACATTCTTTTTTAATTTCCATAGACCTTTAAACTTTCCCTTACGAGGCTCGAAGCTCATACACACTGTTCAACCCACTTTTCAATCCCTCCTTTCCACTCCTCTGATTTGGGGTTACTATTCCAGAAAAAGTCACCTCTGCATTTCTTTTCTCCGTCCTTTTGTACGTTTGGGCTTACTTTTCCATGGGAGAGTGGTTACGCTGGACTCTATCCTATAGACCCATCTGACATCATACTTTTCTCTCTCTCTCTCTCTCAACTATGTTCGTTCAACTTTTTGATGAAAGGGGTGTGCGATAGACTTAACTTGACGTGGTCCACCCTGAGCAACGTATACTCATATGGCAAAACAGTCTATAAACTGGCAGTTGATTTCTGTCTTCAAACTACCATCACACCACTTTATGTCATATTCGACTACTTCCACAGTATTCACCTCACCTTTTTCTCTACCTTTTCTACCTTCGTCTTTGAAACACTCTTCTGTTCCCTATCCCCCTCTCGACTCTTTTCACTTAGATGTTCCTTCCCCTCTGTGAAGCCTGAGGTCAACTAAAGGGCTAATGATAACCATCAAAACGCCTGCCATTTGATATAACTAAACTTCTTGATGAAAGTTATTAGAAGGCACGTTATGGAGTCTAGGGCAAATTGTATTGGATGGAGCGATTTTGATTATTGTTAGAAATTAATTATTGGACACTGTGTATAATATCTTATAGTAATTTAATGCCTCCAAAATTTTAATTAATTTTTCATATTGTCTCAAATCATCATTATTAGCTTTTGGTTCTTCTAAACTAATCGTCACTGACACTAATTTAATAATTTAATAATCCTGTTCTGCATATCGTTTAAGGAATTTGTGTTAGAGTTAATTTGTTCATGCGTGGAAAAATGGTGTGTATCAAAAATTAATTCATTTAATGAAATAATGGGCTTTGGAATTAATGCTAATCAGTAGGATTTTTTATACCCCTTCTGGTTGAGGAACGTCAAAAATGCGCCTCTTCTTCAGTGTGTCAGTCATACATACAGAACTTGTCAAGTCCTTTTAAAGTAGCTTTCAGTTCGTGCGACTCTTGTAGAAAACGGTAATTTACAGCTCTTACAAGAAACCCTTCTACTGACCGGAATTACCACAGATGGTCAGTCAACCACAGCACTGGTTATACACCGAGGGAAAATAACCTTGCCCCTTTTGAATTTAAAGGTATACATGCCAAAAACTACCTCGTATAAAATTTCCGACATCCGTTTAGATTCACCAATTTCAATAATAATAAGTGGAGGGTAAACGAAATGGACTATATTGCTTGATATGATGCCCCCTAGTAAACGTTTCTTTTGTTAGTCTTTACAGCGCTTGACCCATGAACTAATTCATATTGAAAACTTTTGTTGTTAACTTTAATAACTCTCCCCACCTTTTAATACGTAGGAAATACAACAAAGTACGCAGGAAAGCTCGCTATTGGCCAACGCTTGGTGGGCTAGCTCCCATATAAAGCGGGCATAAACGATTTATCGAAGCATTCATCTCCCAATTTAATTTTCAAGGTGAGTACCAGTGGTGACAAAAATGTTATATATTATGTTAATTTAACTATACGTTAAATTCTCACAACTTAAAACAATTTTTTCCACCCTCAAAAGGTTTTCTTCTCCTGATATGCGGTTCCTGAATTATTTGCTGTTTCCTATCCTACTCTGCTTTCTGGTTACATTTCCAAGTATGCAATTCGAGCTTTAAAGCTATCTGATATTATTAATAGGCAATAATAGTAATTAAAGGGATTTTCAATAGATTAGAAACTTATTAATCAATTTACTAATGTTTTCCAATTTTGTCAACTTGTAATTTAGTTTAATTTGCTAGCAGAACTGCGAGTAACTTAATTTTAGTTATGGGAAATACTTTAACTGAATTTCCAAAAATAATTTTTGAGTAGATATTTAAATCTATTTGTTTATTACTCATTTGACTTAATAGTTGACTATTAGTAAATCATGTTTTTCCCACTATATTATATTAGTTATTTATAATTCCTCTGTGCATTCGATGCCTTATATGCTATTTTCCAAATTTGCCTCACAGTTGTATGATTGTAAATGTGTAAGTATTCTTTCATAACCAAATAATTTTTTTTCACTTTTAGAAATTAGTTTTTGCGCACCCTGGGGATTCCAGGATGATGATAGCGAACTGATAAATTGCTTGGAGTCTCTCTTAATGAAACGGCTTCTGGAACGTGCAGAATTCATTGAGGGAATCCAAGACCTCATTCCACCCGAATCCAATACATTTCACGGGCGAATGAAGAAGAACTATGCTCGTCCAGCCATTCGAATTGGTTAATTCAAGACCCTTCAATCATTTCATATGCGTCCTTATATTGACTTTATTCATATTAGCTAGACATGAGCGGAAATAAATTTGAAACTGGTGTACTGGCTTCTCAGGGGTCTTTTAACTGGGTAACAGTAAATCAACAAATTTAAATTACCACTAGTATATAATATGTGAAAATAGTTCATACATTGACGTGGTGCAGTCGATTGTTTAACATACATTTAGAGCAGACTACATATTTCAACCTCAGTGAAGAATTTGATCGAGTAATATTCGTGTTCTTATTAATATTTTATTCAGTTTGATTTGAAAAATAAAAGTAATACGTCAAAGTATGGACATCTACAGTATCGCATTTAGTACCACATTTGAGCGGCAATAGCCTGGTACTGTAAACATCGTGGTACTAGGTGGTTTAAAATAATAAAACCTGAAAATGAACAAAGTTAGTAATAGTAAATAGATATTGTTTAACAAATCAAAAGTTTGGAACATTACCAAGCACGAAATGGATATTTTTAGTAAATCAACTACTTACTTTAGGGGTGCGCGATAGACTTACCTCCACGTGGTGCACCCTAGACAACGTATTTTCTTACGGC